TTCCATTGTAGTTGAAATTTGGACCACAAATGCTTGGATCACTAGTCATCTCTTTCTCCTGATTTGTCTCAGGTATGGTCTTAAACCATGGATAGTATTCAGTAGGAGAAAAGGCATTTGCATCACTACTGTCAGAGTTTATAATCTATACCATCTTACCTTTTTTTTTTTTTCAAGCTAACTTTTATCTTTAACAGGCCATTGGCAACTGCTGTGTTGGAAAGGGATTTCACAAATTTGAATAAAAAGGGCAAGAAATACCAACTTGTGCTTTCGTTTGTTTGTTTGTTTTAATTTGTTCAAGGTCATGAACGTCTTGCAGATAGGATAGTATCCAAGCTTGCAAAGATAGTATAATAATAAAGATAATAATAATGACTCATTATTATTATTTGCTTATCTCTCGACTGTTCTTTTCTTCTGCTTTTGACTAAGTCTTTGTCATTTAAAAAATAAATCAACCAAAGACAGGACCCAGTTATTCTTTGAGGGGATAGGTCAAGAGCAAACCAGAAGAGCTTCTCCATCTCTACCCAATTGACCTTCATTTCAGGACCATCATTTCTCTAACTCCGGATGGTGTGTCTGAGATGTCTGTTGTCTCTATCCTATTTAACCAAGAACTTGTCTTAAATGAGTGCTTCTCCAGTCTATGCTGTGAATCATGTGAATGTGTAAGAGTCCATGCCCTTTGATGCAGTTTGCTTCTTTTGGATTTGTACAAAATTTGTTTGTTAGTTGGCAAATGGGACACAGCTGGCTTCTGATTTAGAGAGTGCCTTAAATTAGTTACCTCCTACCTTAACTTGATCATTTAAATGGAAAGCACTACTTCTCCAACAGAGCAGACATGATATAAAAACTATTTCTGACATGAGTATCTTGCTTCCCCGATTGTGATGGCTACTGGTATGTCTAACAGAAAAAATAAATAAATAGAAAAAATAAAACACAGGTTTTACAGTTGTCACAAGTGGCAAACTGTCTTTGCATTATTTAAGAAAGGCTTTAAATGTTCAATGAATGTGCTTAGACTAATGATAGTTGATGCCCAGAACATAGCAATAATCCAATGAAACAGAATAGCATTTTGGAAAGTGGAAATTTGTGTAGAAATTGCAGATAGCATCAACGCATGCTGGGAACTTTACATATGAGTGAGCTATAGCTTGGGCTGAGGCGTTATTTTTTTGGCCTTTCATTTGTAAGTAAGGTACTATTCCTTCCCCTCCAAGGCATAGGTAGACCAGTTATAAATAAAAGAATACTGGTATCCTTTGTTCATAGTGGTAAAATTGCCAGAAGCAATTGAGGATCCTGATCTTCTAAGTCTTGGTATTTGGAGGAACCTCATTAAGTCATTTGGAGGACAGCATTCTATAGTTGAAGATGACTAGATCTACAATAAAAATATTTGGATAGATTGCTGGCTGTACTATTAACTCACTAATTTTGCTTTCTTCACTAAGTTCCCGCTAAGACTTTTATTATCTGGCCCAGGGTACCTCTCCAGGGTCTTCTTTTGATAGTCTTACTCCATACTTGCTCCATTTCAGCCTCTGTGCCATCTTTTCCATGTTTGTTTTAAAGACACATTCATGCTGCCAGGCTTTCTGTACTTACTGTTATCTCTGTCTGGGATAATCTCCTTCCAGATACAAGCTGACATTTATTGAGCAGATCCAGTATGTTCCTAGGTGTTATAAATGCTTTGCATGTTAACCTGGATGAATTCTCATGATAGCTGTATGAAGTGTGTGGCATGACATTGAAGGGATGAGAAAAGGAGGCAGAGTGATCTGTCAGAGGCAGAACTGGAGCCAAGGCAGTTTGCGTCTGAGCCAAGGCCCTCAAAGTGCTCTCAGGGCACACAACACCCAGGGTGTGGTTCCCATCCTTCCTTTAACCTCAGAGCTCTTTCTTGGTGAGCATTTCCTGACTATCCCTTTTTTTATTATTATTATTATGTTCATTTATTTTGAGAAAGAGAGAAGAGAGAGAGTGTGAGCAGAGGAGGGGCAGAGAGAGAGGGAGACACAGAATCTGAAGCAGGTTCCAGCCTCTGAGCTGTCAGCATAGAGCCCGACATGGGGCGAAAACCCACAAGCTGTGAGATCATGACCTGAGCTGAAGTCAAACACTCAACTAACTGGGCCACCCAGGTGCCCTCTGTCTACCCTGTTTAAAGTGGAATCCCTAAAAATGAATGAATGAATGAATGAATAAAGGAATCCCTGTGACTCTGTTTTTCTTTACTCAGCTTTATATTTCTCAACAGCACTGTACTTTACCTGACTTATATTGCCGATTTGCTTGCTTATCACTTTATCTCCCTCACTAGAATATATATTCTATGAGGGATGGACATTGTTCTGATCTATGTTATCACTCTGTCCCCTGCATCTAGAAATTTACTGAAATGTACTGAAAGAAGTATATGAGTTGGGTTAGAATTTTTATAGTATGTAAGATATCGTATTTTCCAAACATTTGCAGAGCACCCTTTTTGTGCCAGATTCCGTGGCAGGTTTTGGAAATATGAAGGTGAATGAGATTGATGGGACCTCCTACTTTCCTGCTTTTCCTGAGGCTTTTAGGGCATCATAGGAGAAACAAACATGGAATTAACAGGCAGTTGCACAGGATAAGCATTCTATTAGGGCAAATATAAGGTGCAGCAGGGAAGCAAGGGTTCGGGGAAAGCTACTCTGAGGGGGCGGATATCCATGCTGAGATCTGCAGGATGGGGATGCAAGACGACTCCAGGGCAGAGCCAATAACAGAAGGCCCTGAAAGAGCACATTCCAGTTCAAAACCACTTCACTATGACCGTGAGGAACAGAGTTGACTATCTGATTCTGGAGAATAATGGTGGGTTTTCAGGTGTCTTGAAAACTATTCCCAAGGAGTCAGAACTTTATTGTCTGAGCAATGAGATGTCCCTGAATAGTTTTTAAATCAGTGTAATTTTGATTTAGTATCTGATTTAGTTTACGGCCTTCAGCCAGGTAAGCTGACAGTATTTCCACCTGCTGGATGGGATGAGTGAGGTCTGAATAACACATTTTAATGTTGCTGGAATTGATTTAATTCTCTCAGTGATAGTGCTATAAGGGCTCCTAACTCATACCTTCCCACCCTCACTCCTTCCTTCTTTCTGGTTGTTGTTCTTCCCAAAAGTCTAATGTAAAGCTCCCTACCCTCTTTACTCCTTTCTCCTTTCTCCAAAGAAAGCTCCTCCTCCTTTCTCCAAAGAACATGCATGTTCTCACACAGTTTCCAATAACCAGACCCCTGAGTGGAAACCAGCGACCTCATGGGTGGCGGGACTTGTATGTGGATGGACACCATATTGTGCATTGGGCTGGAATTCTCTGTTCTTCACTAAGAAGCTGGATTTATACCAGAAACCTCTTATCTGAAAAGGCGACTCTGGACTGGGGAGAACAGAGCCGGTTTGACAGAATAGAGAGGCTCTCAATGTTGGTCTGCCCACGCTTTGGGCATGCGTGAGCACTCGCAGCAAAACACAGCTGGCATGTCTAATTTTAGCCTTGTCTGCCTTGAAAAGAGACCCTTAAAGGAAATATATTTTCTCTGAAACAATTTGTATTATTAATGTAATAGATGATAGACCTGTCAGACTAGGGCTTATTTTTGGTGGGCGAAAAGCTCAGCCAAGTAAGTATGATTTTTGTGTGTGTGATGATATCAGTAAAGTGATTAATGCATTCGTGAATCAAAATAATTATAAAGAGATAGACAGTGAGAGAAACAGTGATTTTATTTCTAACGTCATCCGTAAACCTAGTGGGATATCTCTTTTGATGCTCACAAAATGGTTGTAAGACTAAGAATGATCATTTCTGCTCCAGTAAGTCGGTCACTGTGATCTGATGCTGCATGTCTTGTTAATAGTAGTCCCGGAGTAGACTTTACAATTTCTTCACTACTTTTCTCCCTCCATGCCTCCAAGAAGAGTTTCTGCACCAGGTCTTGGATTCATCTGGCTTTATATATTAACAGGTTTTGAAAGCATTCAGGATACTCTTTTCCCATTTTCACCAGCAAGGGCTGTCCCTCTGCCTTTATTTAGTATTTTTTGTTTTGTTTTGTTTTGTTTCTTTCTCTTCCTTTCTTCCTTCGTCTTCTCTTCCCTCCCATGGTCTCCTGTGTTTTGTTTAGCAGCGTGGCATACCTTGCGACTTGGCAAGAAAAAAAAAAAGAAAGAAAGAAGGCAGCTCTTGTGGGGGGGCGGGTAGATGAAGGGAGGGATAAGAAATAATCCACCCGCCCGCATTTGAGTTCCCCGGGTTCTGTTCCAGCGGCAGCAGCTTGCTGCAAAAATTGCTTTGCTATTCGAGATAGCCAGCAGAGGGAATCGGAACTTTGCTTGCAGCAGGGGTTGAAGCAGCCTTTTTTTTTTTTCTTGGAGGAAATACTGCAGCCTTCTGGACTGCGTACGCTGCTCCCTGGAGAGGCTCTCTCGGTTCCACCCACCGGCTGGAAGGAGGGGAAGTGAATGAAAGGACAGGACAAGCCCCGAACACCATGTCACTCTGGGAGGGAGACAGCAGCAACTAAGCTGTGCGAGGTTTTTTTTTTTTTTTTTTCCCCTTTTTCTTTTCCCCTTTATTTTTCTTTCTTTCTTTCTTTTTCTTTTTTTGGTTTCTTCTTTCTTTCTCTTTCTTTCTATTTTCTTTTTTTCCTTTACGGTGGGGAAAGAGACAAACAGGAGACAGGAAGCTGATCTGCAAGGATTCGGAGTTGTGCTAAAAGGACTTTGATTTTTTTTTTTTTCTCTCTCTCTCTTTACAAACGCTGGGAATTGACATCACTACAGATAGCTTGGTAGAGAACAAACTGCCTCATCCCAAGTGGACCCTGGCAGCTGGGGGAAGGAAGGCAAGATCTGGGGAGGCTGTGTGTATTGGTCTTTTTTTCCTACCGATACCCCTCCTTTTTTTTTTTTTTTTTTTTTGGTGTGTTTCTTTTTTAAATTCTTGCTGTGTTGGAACTAGCGAGTGGTGGAAGACGAGGGATCTCTGAAGCCTCATCAGTCATCGGGACTGTCAGGAATAGTGGTTTAAGAGGAAGCTCGGCCTGGGGAACTATACCCTGTCATCCAGTTCCCTGCCTCGGAGATAAAGATTCCAGCTACATGGGCAAACGCCTGGATCAGCCACAAATGTACCCCCAGTACACTTACTACTATCCTCAGTATCTCCAAACCAAGGTATGGCGTGACCCACAGTCTGGCAATCAGTGTGGTATCCTGCACTTGGGATGGGAAAGAGACAGGCGTGTGAATTATTATTTACCTCTCCTTCCCCATCACCTCTTCCTGCTTCTTTGAAATTAGTAACATACCGAGGGAGTTAATGAGGCAGGGGAGAATATAAGAAAGCTAGCCCGGGATTGTGGCTTTCTCTTTCAAGAGAGATAATAGTTTCGCTCGTGTTCCTTTGTTGTTATTTGGCAACATGAAAATGTTCCTGATACCCGTAGTAAAGTCCTTTGCAGATGGACAGCTTGTTAGAAAGGAGATCGTAACAGTGATTATCAGACACAAGAATACAATTTCAGGGGCTTTTCTGGTGAGCTTTTCTTTGTTTGTGGCTCTAAAAGGGTTTTTCCCACTGGATAGGACACACCAGGGTGGGGGCAACTCAAACTTTTAATCGCTGAGTATAAAATGAAGGAAGGATGTGCGAAGGTATAGTACAGCTGACTAAAGTCCCTTAGAGTTTGTTTGGGTGTGTTTCTGTGTTTTGTTTTTATTTGCCTTACATATTTTATTTTATATCGAGGAAGATCAAGATGCTAGAGACTGAATTTTGGAGCTTTACAATAGGTGCTCTTTACTTTTAGAAGCTCTGTTTTTCTAGAAGCTAGGTCCATCAGGAGGCCTGGGTCTTGAAACAGGATGAAATGTAACTGATGATATTTGGACATGAATTGGTTAAATACTTGAATCTTTATGTGTGTGCTCAAATGATCATTACGGGGCCAGTGGCAAGCGTACGTAACTAAGCAGTGGGCAGTGCCAACTGTGAACTTTATCAGGCAGTTCAGACATGAAAGACTCTCAGGTGTGGAATCACTGCTCCAATTTGTCAATTAAATTGGACTTGACTGGGGGAGGGGGGATGTTGGTGGAGTTACCACTTTGAACGCATGGGTTATATTTCTATACGGATGATATTATTTTGTATTGCATTAGCCTGACTCCACTGTCTTCTTAATAAATGAATATGCTGAGAGTGAACAAGGAATGCCTTGAGTGATCTGTGCTGTCACCAGGACTCGATGATGTGATTAGTGTTTGGTAATTCATGCTGTAGTTAGCTCTTATTTATTCTGTCTCATCAAACAATGCCTATCTGTAAACGAGACCCGGCAGCAGACTTTCAGAATTATATTAAAAATCGTTGCTTTTTTCTTTCTTTTTCAAACGCTCCGTGACTCGCCCTGCCCCTCCAAGGTCGACTCACATTGCTTTTTGCCTTTGTGAGCATTTAGTTTGTGCTGCCGCTGCTTAAATAGACCAGCCCTCCTGCTCCAGTGCCTTGAGTTTTAACTCTTTGGGGGACTGGGTAGAGAATGCTGCCTGCCTCCCTTAAGGAAACAGCAAAGCAAGGACAAGTTTAAAAAAAGGAAATTTATAGTCATTTTTCATCCCCCAAAGAAACAAAAACAACAAACTCAAGGGCTCCATGAAAAATATCGGACATTCCATCCCTTTTACTCATTTGGCTAAATTTTTCCAAATGTTTCCAAATTTATGCTTTCTCTTTGGGTCTTCTCTCTTTTTGTTTTTTTTTTTAATATGAAGTATATTCAGAAAAGAAACTTTAGATAAAAATGAATGGAATAATGGAATAATTACTTTCCTGCTTGAGATTTCTTTTAACTTATTACTAGCAGGAAATAATGTCGTGCGCGTTATATTAAGGACAGGATGCTGGATGAGCTACACTGATGGGAAGTGTGTGTGGTGTCTGTGTGTGTGTGTGTGTGTGTGTGTGTGTGAGAGAGAAAGAGAGAGACAGAGAGAGAGACAGAGAGAAGGAGGGAGAGGGAGAGATAAGGATAAAGAGGGAAAGTGAAGTGGTGGAAAAGAAGAGAGCCTGAAAAATATAGAGGGAATTAAAATAAAATCTGTTTTGGGGTCCTGTATAGCTTAGTGTTGTGTAGACAGGCGGCATCTGGATCTTGTTACTTTCAAGCTAGTCAAAGCCATCAACTTCTGGAACATTTTTAAAGAAGCTAGATCCATTAGGTGACCTGAGCTGATATTTGGGTAATCAGATCAGGGTGGCAGGGAATATAAGATCAGCTCCTTTGGCTATCCTGGTAGTTCATATTGATTATTATGTTGTAAAATTTCGACCGTGCTGTGAAGTTGTCCAATACTGTTCCGGTGGCTCTGAAATGACAGACATTAATAACATTCCTGGAAGCTGAAGATGTGAAAACGTGCCCTGGTTTGAAACGTGGGCACCCCAGGGATGGGAAGAAGGATCAATCATATTTTAAAGTGTGGGGGCTTCATGACAGCATGAACACTATGTAATAAAGGACTCTCATGCCCCTGAGAACAGCATGAACACAGCTAGGTTATTTCAGTGTTGGTTTTTGTCTCGTTTTATGCTTATATCTTAAAATTTAATCTATAATAATTTTGAAGGAAATGCATGCCGCTTATGTTGATTTGGTAAGTCCGGGTGGGATTCATAGAATCTGGTGTCCTTCCAGCCTTGGTGTGTAGTTATAATCCGTTTTTGAAATCATGGCTGTTTAAAATGATGCTGATACATAAAGAATACTTATGGTGGATAAAAATAGAATTCCGCGGTTGACCATAAAAGTCCTATTCTGGTGACATCATAATTTAAGCTGTTGTCTAACTTCAGGTGTTTTTAACGAATCAACAAAAGCTATTTACCGACATTAGTTTGGGTTGGAAAATCTTTATGGGACTGCAAAAGAACCAAAAGGTTTGCTATTTATTGTACCCATTCAGAAAGTGCAAGATACTGAATGTGTGTATTAGATACAGCTGCTATTTTATTATGATAAAACAAAATGAAAGTAGGATTTTTTTAAATAGATGGAAATGTTTCCATTTGCTCAAATGCAGTTAAAGTTTTAGAAAAACTTGAGGCACTCGCCTGCCTTTCCCTGTTCCTCTATTCCCCATCACATCAGAACCAATCCATTCACTTTGTTGCTTAAAAAGAAAAAAAAGTAATAAGACGTTTATACTTTTCTCTCTTTAACTAATTTTCTAAATGCTTAAAATATTATATTAGAAAAAAATGTACCTGTAAGTTAAATGAGACTCAGTAGCTGACTAGTAGCTAGCTATGCCTATTAACAGTGTTATTCTAGAATGTTCACTGTCCAAGACCTCACATTCAGAGTTGTCATTTGTCAATTTTCTTTTGGCCATTTTTCTCTTCCTCTCGAAAGAAGCAATTTCAAAAAGAAACGTTGGTTTTGGTTAAGCAGTATAGAAGAAATCTTGGTGACATGTTATAATATTTATATAAGAGACCTAGCTGGATTCAAAAAAAAGAATCGTCATCAAAACAAATTTGCTGTTTGAAGACCACCCAGAGTACTCAGCAAATTTTAAAGAATGGGAACCAAAGAATGGTTCATTGGCTTAATGATAATGTCTATAATGATGTTTGATTGAGTTGTAACCTAATATTTCTCAATAATTTTGTTGTAGCCCACTCAAAGCAGCTAACCTGTTGCTCTTGCCGTGTGAGAGCCAGGGTGAATTTTGATCTGAATTTGAGGTACTTTGGGGAGGTTTCTTGGCAAAGCAACTTTAGTCAAACTAGGAAGGTTAAAAAGAGTGAAACATGGCCACAGCCTGGTGCATTGATATTTTGCAGCTGAGAAACAGGTATTTCTCTCATAAGGGATACTTCGAAAACTTTTGTCATCTTCCCAAAAGTTTAAAATTCATCCAAGCACCCACAGCAAGCTCATCCTTCCTTCCAGTTCCTTCCTCTGACCAGGTCACAATGTTTCTACCCATCCAGGGCATGGTTTCTACTGGCACTGCTTTTCTGTGAGCCTACTGCCTTTCCTTCTTTGGCTATCCACTTCCTCTGAAGATCTTACACAAACGGGTTTAGACTGCGGTACCCTACAGGATTTTTCTGGCCGGTGGTATTCAGATTGTATTCAGAGCATTGGTGTGAAGTTGGGGTCAGGTGTAGGGAGCAATTCATCAACTGCACACTGATTTCAGGCTGAGTTTCTAACCATCTGCAGCCTGGACAGCCGCCCATCTCTCAAAGTCTAGCTAGAGCCCAACTGATTGTGCTATAGAAAGGGCAAACACTTGAAACACAAAGGACTTAAGGAGGAGGGGAAGGAAGAGAGAGGCTCCTAAGGGGCAAAGGATATTCTCAAAGACGTAAATGTACAAATCCTTCAAAAGCAAAACAGAACAACCCCTTAACATACTTCTTGCACATGAAAATGTAGAAAATCTCGCAGAGGGAGGGAATGAGTTTAGAATTTCCTTAGTACTTCCTGCTTCAGATTTGCATTGATAGCCAGAGTTGGTAACTTGCCAGTTTTAAAACAGCCTTGAAAACTCCCAAGTTCTGTTTTCCTTTGAAAGGCTGAAACGTACAGAACTGGTTTTCTAAAAATCTTCCAGCAATAGAATTTTTAGGTACAAGTCTAAATATTTCTTTCGCTCCAGGGCGGGGGCGGGGGTAATATGAAACTATGATAAATCTGGTCTCATTTTAGAATGTATACAGTTTTAATTGGTTTTAAATAAGAGAAAAATAGTTACAGGGGACCACTCTCCCTTTCTAATTGTTTTGTTTTCTTTACTCACCCCCCCCGTTTTTATGATCATTGGGTTTGTCTTTTCTAAAATATAGTCATTGTTTCCCTAAGTTTAGTGTCTACTGAAAAGGAGGAAATATGTAAAAAGTTCATGTGGTTTTTTTCTCCAGAATCATTCCAGATTCAAAGAAAACATCATGTCAGTTTGTTCTAACTGTATCTTTCTAATGTAGTTTCCTTTCGCTTTCTGTCAATAATAGAATTACAACTCAACATTATTTCTTTGAAGTAATTAAAGCTATTAGAGGGTTGGACATAGGGGTGCTGTGCAGGGAGGGAGGCAAAAGAGAAAGCTGATGGAAGTTCATTTCAGGTCCCTCTGGCTCCAGGAATCCTGGAAAGCTTCCTTTT